ATAAAGAACTATCTCCGCTCAACAATGTCACAAGAGAGGTTAAGAGGGCTCGCTATGCTATATATTGGAAAAAAGTGTTATCTACTCTTGATTGTGGTGATGTACTTACAAATTTTGCACATCAAAAAGAAAGAAGAATAGGTTATTAGGTAGTACTTTTACAATTTTATTTATTTCTTCAAAAAATTTATATTTTCACATACTTTATATCAACTTTAAGTCAAGTATTTCTTTTTACATTTACTAAAAAATGATGTTATAATTTCTAATTACTTCATATTTAATTATGATATTAACTTGAAGTACTATTTGATCTCATTAGTCATTCTTTGTGTGGGGTACCAAAATTCCTGGAGACTGCTCTGACCCCGACTAATTGATTTTCTCTAATTCTTTGTCCCATTCAAAAACTATTTAATTTGGTTTTTAGAAGGTTTTTAATACATATTTTAAAAATGTGAATAATTAGTTTTATATTATTTTAACGCTCATATTAGCCTCAAAAAATTATAAAATGATATATTAAATGTTTCTAGTAGATTTATGCAACATAGAATTAAAAAAATCTAAGTAAAGTTGTTTCGGAGTTAGAAATGGACTAAAACCAAAATAGAGCATATTACAAGAGTGAAAACAAAGAAAATATTTCGCAAAAACCTAAAACAGAGGGGACCTTATTTGTAGGGGCTAAAATCATATTTACCTTTTTTAATGATTCTAAAGTACTACGTATAATAATTTGATACTATGTGGCATGATTTGACACTACTACCATTTCTACTTTAGAATAGTAGAGCAATTGATAAAAAAAATTCTTTATCAAACAAAGGGTGAAAACTTATAAATTTAATTAAAAACTCAAAAAAGGAATTAAAATATGAAAAATAGATAGTAATTTTTTAAAAAAGTACACAAATGAAAAAATGAATATAAAAATTTTAAAAAATTAAAACGTCACAAAATTGTACAACAATACAATTTTCTGTAATGTGATTATTTTAAAACGTATAATCCAAAGATTCTATCTACAAAGTAAACCAAAGGGGCTCTAATTGTTAAAAGCCGTTTGATAACCTCTATTTTCGGATTATCAATCTTGTAAGTCGATTTTTACCAAAAATATAAATATTAATTTTGTGTATTAAATGGTATAATAATCAAAACAAGTAAGCTTGAATTTATTTTTCTAGCTTAATCAGTTGAAATTATTTAAGAAGATCACTTAATTTGAGTTTTTTTGCTAAAATTCTTTCATCATTTTTTAATAAAATTTATTGTAAAAATAATATCTGTCTATCCCATAAAAAATTGGTCAAGTTTAACCCGTATAGACAATAATAAAGTAAAAATGATGTGATTGAATTTTATGTAGAGGAAAGAGAAATATATTTATACAAATTAGTTATTTAAAAGAGAAAAAGACAAAAGTTTTTGGATAATTAAAATAGGAAATATGGTAAAATTATAAAGGACCAATAATGAATGAATTGATATTAACTGAGGTTTTCTAACTTTATTAAGTACAACTATTTTATATGTTCCTTAAAAAATTGAATTCAATTAATCAGAGCGAGTTTAGTATTGAATTCAATACTAAAGTAATACTCCCTCGTCCCTTAGTAGGTTCTCACTTTCCTTTTTTGGATGTCCCGTTAGAAGGTTCTCATTTCCATTTTAGGAAACAATTAACAATCTTAAGTGACAAATTAATCATTAAATATTAAAAATAATACATTTATAACATCAAAGTTATCAATACTAACTACATTATAATATATATCTATTAAAATTATTTTTCAAACGTGCCATTTTGTCATGGGAATTTTCCAACGGGACGGAGCTAGTATGTAGTATTATGTTGATTTTGTAATTTGGAAGAGTACCATCTATGCAAATATAGAAAAACAAAAACAGAAATGTTTAAATAGGGGTGGGCGCGGTCCGGAACGGTCCGGTAAATTGGTAAAACTCGTAATGTATCCGTGAGGTTTTTAACGGTCCGGTACGGTCCGGTTCCAAGGATAGAACCGTTCGGTACCATGTCGTTTTGGAACGGTACAAAACGGTACGGTACAATGCCAAACACATGCTAAAATTTTTGAACAGATCTTGCAATTAGTAGATATCATCACGCCAACCAACTCACATGAAATTTTGAAATAAGTACAAGAATTTGCATACCTAGTACTAAAATTCACAAATACACAAATAGTGCAACACAAGTAAGAAAAATTATAGCAAAACGATGACGCGCGAGATAAATATCAATTTTAATTTACTAAGTTCATGTGAAAATATAAAGACGAATATCATCAAATTGTTGAATATAATAGAAATTTTCAACGTTCTTCATCTTAGTTCTAGGTTAAATATTATTACTCCGTAGTTCTAATTTAATTTATAGTTGAACCTTGAGAGCTAAGATTTAAACCATATTAATTAAGTTGTAAAAAATGCACAAACATGATACAACAAAAAGTCATGTACACTACATTACTAGAAATAAATAATCATTAATGATTTATAAAATTTTAATATTCTTGCGATACATACCAAAATATAACATAAATTTATCTAAAAAGAAAAACTCACAATATACGGAGTATATGAACACATTTTAGATATCTTAGGGACACATGAATACGTACTTGGGGTATAAAATTGTTGGTCTAGATCTAATGATATTGAAAAAATATAAAAAAATTCAAATGCATTATTTACAAACGGTTCGGTCCGGAATTTTCGGTTCTCAAAATCTAGGATCGGTCCCGTGCCCGTTTCAAATGATACGGTTTCGGTACGGGATAAAAATCTACTGAACCGTTTAAATACCCGGTATTCGGTTCGGTACCATTACGGGACGGTTCGGTACCGGTTCAGTACCGGTTCGGTTCGATTCGGGTTTTATGCCCACCCCTATGTTTAAACATAAATCAGCTCGCAGATGGAAGGATATGATCGTCAGTGGCAATTTTGTGGATGGGCCAAGAATATAAATGAGCAGCCCAATAAAATTCGAGGTTGGGTTAGGGCTTAGTGCAAAGAGAGGAACGAACTGGATTGGCTTGGCAACGGAAGAAACGCGATTCTGGTTTGGGGATAGACAATGTCGAAGAAGAATAATCTTTCTACCCGCAGAAAGCAGCACGAGTTCGATCTACGAAGTTGTACAGTACCTTAAATTTTTCTTTCGTATTCCTTATTTTTTCCTGATTTGACGGTGTGTTTTTCTGATTAATGAAAAATTAGGAGAAAAACAAGAGAGGGAACAGAAGGAGAAGAGGCTAGAAGCTAAGAAGAACAAGATGAAAGTAAATTCCCTTTTCTTCGTCTCATCACTTATCATTTTTGCTGATTTTTTGAAGCCATTATCAATCATGCTCAATGTAATGTTTTTATTGAAAGATATATCTAAGCGATTTTTAATGGTTTCTCTACGATAGCCCGGTTGGAGCTCATTGGATTTGATTCTCCATTAGGAGCAAAATCCCTGATGTTTCACATGTTCTTTTGCCCAAAAAATAATTTTGTAGTTTCATATAGTGGGTTCAAGTTTGATTTGAAAAAACAAATTCTAAGTAGCTTCATGATAAATTTAATTATAAAAAAACATTAAAATGGAAATAGGAATAAACAACTTCGAGGTGTTGTGCTCTGCCAAAATTCAGAAGATGTAGTGATGTACCTTGAGCATACAACATGTACTATACAAATATGATATGGAAAGTTATTTTAAATTTCCATTGTCTTGTGATGCTAAATTATTAAGTGCTTAATTTGGATGGTGGTTCTGGTTTTAGGTGGATGGGAAGGCCAAGAAAAAGGGTGGTGGTAAATTTCCAGTGGGGAAGAAGAAATTGAAGACAAAATTGACAGCATTGGCAAAAGCCAAAGCTGCACAAGCTATGGAGATTGAGAAGTAGCAAGTAAATGATATGCTAAAGAACATATTTAATTGGTCACATGGAATATTCTATTCTAGCTTCTACTTCTTTTATTGGCAATTGCATTTATCTTGTGTCATAACTTTGTAAGCTAGTATTCAAATACAATAGGTACAGTCTAGGGGTGGACTCGGGCCGGGCCAACCGGCCTGGAACCGGACCGGCCCGCTACTGTGCGGGCCCGGACCGGCCCGGTGAACCGGTTGGTGCCCGGTTCGGGCCACCCGGCCCGGTCTTCAAGCGGTTCGGTCCTGGGCCTGCATTTCAGTGAACCGGCCCGGTCGGGCCGGGCTCGGTCCGGGTCGCAACGGTCAGTTTTTTTTTTAAATACTAGAAGGCTCCATAGCCGTTGGGAGAGCTCCCAAACGGCTCTATAGCCGTTGGGAGCATAGGAGGGGGGGTCTGGGGGGTTAGGGGGTGGGGTGGGGGTGGGTATACAAAAAAACCTATTTATACTCCTATTTTCTATACATTTTTTACACCTCTTCTTCTACAAGTCTTCCTACTCTCTAAATTCTCTATTCTCTCATATTCAATCATCTTAATTCTAACTTTTAGTCATGTTTATAAACCTACCGCAAACGAATTTTTTGTTGAAGCTGTTAATCTCGCCGGCACTTTTTGTGAATTTTCTAAAGCCACTTACGTTAGTTATTTTTGTGATTTCATGAAACAAAAGTTTTTAAAATATTATTCACATATTCCACATAGGGTTGGATTCGGTTCGGGCCACCCGGCCCGTGACCCGGCCCGACCCGGTACTGTGCGGGCTCGGGACCGGCCCGGTCGGGCGGTTCGGGACCGGGTATGGACCCGAACCGGTGGGAAGGGGCGGGGCGGGCTCGGTGCTGGACTATTGTGACCCGGCCTGATCGGGTCGGGCCCGGGCCCGGGTCCCGGTCTAATTTTTTTTAAAAAAAATTGGTTTGGGCTACTAGCCGTTGGGGGTGGGGCTGGGGACAACCCAAACGACTATATAGCCATTGGGTGGGGTAAAGGGGGGGTCCGGGGGGGTTGGCTGGTGGGGGTGGTGGTGGTGGGGGGTGGGGGGTAAAAAAACCTATAAATACTCCTAATCTTAAACATTTTTTCATATCTCTTCTCCAATATATTATATTTATTATTTATATATCTACTTTATAGTTTATACTTAAGAAGTTAAGATGGAAAATCAAGATGCCATTATACGGTATAATTTTGATAAGCAGAAGGACCCGAAGACCGGGATGTGGTACGCAATTTGCAAATGGTGCGAGAAAAAATGTAGCATGGGGGTTTCTGGCGGATTCGGAATGGCAATCAAGCATATGAAGTCATGTGACAAAGCCAAAGAATCGGGAGGTGCGGGAAGTTCCGATTGATTACAATTTTCAAAATGTTTATCTGTTAAAGTTTGTTTTAATTTTTAAATGTAGTTCCTATTTCATTTCAAATAAATGCAATTGAAGTTTGTTTTTAATACTCGTATAAAACTATAAACTATAAAATATAAATTATAAAAAAAAAAAACAGCCCGGCCCGAACCGGACCTGACCCGTGACCCGGGCGGGTGGCCCGGCCCGGACCGGACCCATCCAACCCTCGGGCCGGTCCCGGGCCCATGTCATACTACCCGGCGGCCCGACCGGGCCTAGGCCCGGCCCGAGTCCATCAATAATTCCGCATATATATGGTATTGCATTTGTTCTTGATCCTCGTTATAAACTTGCTTACTTGGCAAATTGTATAGATTACTATTATGCTTCTTTTTTTTTCAACTCAAGAGTTCGATGATAATCTCATCGACCCTAAACAAGAATTGAACGAGGTTATATAATTTATTTCATCAATTGTATAATGAATTTCATGCACAATATGGTAATGCACCCCCTCCCATGCAACGAACATCTTCATCTAAAGGAAAATCACTTTTAAAATCCGCTTTTGGTTCTCTTTTGAAAAAAAGTAGAGCAACTCCCGCTACTGAACAAAGCTCAGGTAACAAGCTTTCTTTGTATCTAACATTGAATGTTGATTATGAAGTTGGTGATGACTTTGACGTTCTTAAGTGGTGGAAGGAAAATGAAAGAACATTCCCGATTTTATCAAAGATTGCTAAGCAAGTGCTAGCAATGCCGATATCAACCGTTGGCGTGGAACAAGAATTTAGTGCGGTCGGCAATGTCATAACCGATTATAGAATGAGGTTGAGCTCGAGCTCTCTTGAGACACTAGTTTGCTTTCACGATTGGTTGAAGGTCCAACGAAGAACTCAAGAAATTACCAACACTCCCACCCGTCACTTTATGGAGGAAACAACTGAAGGCGGAGATTCCGATTGATTTTTTATTACAAAATGTATTACATTTTTTAAATTCATCCTAATTCTCAATTGTACTTCTTATTTGAAATAAATATACTTGAATTAGAATATAATATATTGTAATTGTAATAAGAATTATTCTAATAATATAATATATAATAAAAAAAATTAAAACGCCCGGCCCGTGAACCGGGCGGGTGACCCGAACCGAACCGGACCTGGGGTTATCCGGGCCGGTTCCGGGCTTGCCTTCCGTGAACCGAGGCCCGGCCGGTTCTAGGCCCGAACCGGGTCCGGCCCGAACCGAGTCCACCACTAACCGAACGGGTTTAGGTCCAAGACCGAATTGAACCTTTTCAATATCATGGTACGGGTACGGGTTCGGCAAAATATTAGATTGGACCGGACCGTGTCTACCCCTAATGCAGACAAACGTCTTGACCCATTTAGAACTTAATGGAAAAAAGTAAACAACCCCAAAGTTGGCTTGAGTAGGAATCTTGTGTTAAATGGATGTGAAATGAGTACATTTTCCATAATATATTGAATGTGACATCCCGTCTTTTTCTCTCTAACGATAAGAAGTTGAAGTCGTACTACAATGTTGAACAAGTTAAGGTGGGCCATTGCTCCACTCTCATTACGTCATTGAAGAGTCCAAACCTCTAACATATTATGAGCATGTTTGAAGTATGAACAAAGTTCCTTTTTATGCGCTATGTCCCAACTCCCAATATTGAACTATGTTTACCATTAGGTCATTTCATGTAGGGTTTAGGGTTTAGGATTGATTTAGGGGTTAGGGTTAAGGTCTTACGCATTATAGTTGGTTTAAGGTTTAGGGCTTAAGGATTAAGATTAGGGTTTAAGTATTAGGGTCTAGGGTTTAGATTTGGTTTAGGGGTTGGAGCTTAGGAATTAGGGATTAGAGTTGATCTAGGGTTTACAGTTGTGATGAAGTATATTGCCATACACCATAGGGGGGTCATCATTTATGCTAAAGAATCTTCAGAATCCACTAAGGCAACCTTCGTTGAAGCACAACTAGGGTTATATATGAATCCAAAGTATCATACCAAGTAAGGGTTGTAAATGAAGCAAATAATCGTAATTTGAGAGTAAGGGTTGTAAGTCCAATATTGCAGCCAAAGTTGAGTCTCGTCGAGGTAGGTGATGAGTCCAGCACTACAGCTGAGCTTCGGGCCATTTCTAACATAACGAGCTCAAGACCAATAGAGACAGGCCTACTTCACGATCGGTCGGAAAACCAATCTAGTTGAAAACAATTACTACAAAGAAAGGCTTTATTACATCAAGGGTCCACCGCCCCTAGTATGACTACAAATATTCTAATGTCCATATTCAATTGCATTAGGGGCCCAAGTCAAATAACATCAAATATTGGAAGGAGGGGGTTGGGAGTGAAAGCTGCTGACGAAGTTCTACACCAATTGGTCAGGAAGCTTCAAGTCAGTTAACCACTAATCCTAAACTCATAACCCTAAACCCCGAACCCTGAACACTTAACACTAAACTCTAACAGGGATGAGAAATATAAAGTGGAAATACATAGTAGTTGGATCAAATAAAGGATTTTACTGAAAAGGTCTTGTATATTGTACCTCAGAATCATATATTGTACTCTAGCTCTTGTATTAGGCTTTGATTGTAATCTAACCATCTCATCAACACACTGAAAGGGTCTTAACCTTTTTTGCTATAAGTGTCACACTATATGAGGTCAAGACTTTCTAGCAAAGAAGCAAGTGCTAATCTATCACTCATCTTCTTAGCTCACCCCTCTTCACTAAGCTCTTAGACTAGTTCATTCATAGAAATATCTTTAGAGCTTACATTAGTTGGATGTTTGCTTTTACCTTGTAAACTAAACTGTTTGTAAGTCTAGAGGGCTTCGTGATCAAATCCAGAGTGTAGAAGAAGGGCATGAGTAGCTCTTAGCAAATCAATGTTATAAGTGAAAAACCTGGTAGATAATAGGAATGAGTAGCTTGGAGTGGTGTTCAAACTCATTGTGAAAAATGAATATTCTATGTAAAGTAAGTGACTTATAATGCTAACTTTTTTGGCATACACGTGAAAAAACATTACTTATTAATTTACGGTCTTATATTATTAAATTTATGTATATAGATATGCTACATTTTTAGAGAATTTGTTTTTATGTTTTCCTTAAATAATACCGGCTCCGTACCTTTTTATTTAATCAAATTTGACTTTACGCTCTAAATGATAACAAACTCTGATCGTTATATATTTATACACGATAGTATTGATAATATGAAAATGTTCTTTGGTAAAGATACTATCATACAAGTATATGTGCTATATACATTGTAGTGTAATTTAAACGATAAAGATTACACCGTATTTGTACAAAAGCTGACTAAACATGTACACTGTGATATCATTCTGAATTGTGTTATTTATGCACTACTAAATATCACATTTCAATATCTCTAAGATAGAAATAAATAAATAAGTAAATATATAGATTTATAAGTACATCAATAAATGAATGTACATTTTTTAATTTCATCCGCATAAATGCTCTTTGTATGTTCTGTTATGCTCTTAACACAAAAATTCCATTTGTGAAAAAACATATGATCAAGGTGCTAACATTATATTTTATATAAAGTTTAGGGTATATATATATATATATATATATATATATATATATATATATATATATATATATTATCAATAAATCACTGTTTCAGAAATTCTAAAGAAAGAATGACAAAAATGTGACTTCCAACTTATTTAGATTTGTATAAAAAATTATGTATGAAATTACAAATTCAAATTGGATTGTCATCAACTTCTCTAACTTATTTTAATAAAATAGCTCATATTTTGTGAAAGTATTACACTCTAATTTGGGGTTATTTGCGGTGAAGTATATGAAGCATGTGATCAATTGGACTCAGGCCGGGTCAACCGGCTCGAAAACCGGCCCGAACCACTACTATTTGGAACCGGCCCGGCCCACTAATCAGGTCCAGGCACGCTAGCTACCTGAGCCGGTTCCGGGTCTCAACAAAACAAAAAAAGGCCGCTCGAGCCCGGTCCGAGGCCTGCGCCTGGCCCGGGTCCATCCCTAAATTGGATTGTGGGCTCTCAAGTCTCAACTTAACAAGGAAGTCAACCCATCCATTAGGCTCAGGAAACAAATATAACTGCCCACTCACACCACTATGCATGTTCTCAAAGTTCAACGTAACTTTAGTATAACCACTACCACTATGCATGTAAGCATGTAAGCATGTTCATCAACTATCTACCTTTCAGTTTCATTACATAAGTACAAATACACAAGAAAACCACGCCAATTCATAATCTAGTTGAAAATTCACGATCAATCTAGTTGTCAATTTTCTACCATGACAGGACACCGTAAGGGGAACAAGCTCTCGAGCATAATCAGAAGAAAGCCAACCAAGGCAGCAAGTCCAGTACCTGGGAGAGGAAATGGGAAAAAGTCAAACAAAGGTTTGGAGGAAAACTTAGAAGTAATTTGTGTTGGAAGTCAGCCATGGATTCGTAGCCCGAAAAAACCTTCTGTTATAAAAATCGTTGATATTTCTTCCAGGTATCGTTAATAATTTATTTAAAATGCCCATGATATAAATCAATCACTTAATGTCATTAATTAATATGTATGCATGTGTTGGATCGATCCCACAGCCGGGAGACGGCCTACCGACATTGTCCGCTTTGGGTTACCCCTCACGGTTTTAAAACGCGTCGATAGTGGGGAAGAGCCTAGGCCTTATAAGGTACCAAGGACTCTTCAAACCCACCGGTGTGGGATTCTTTGGCATTCCTACCGAAGAGGCGGGTTTAAGATGCGCGAGTTTCCCCGGCTCAAGGGAGTGAAAGGACCATACCTAACAATCCCCCCCCACACTGGTGCCGCCCCTGGCTCTGATACCAATTGTTGGATCGATCCCACAGTCGGGAGACGGCCTACCGACATTGTCCGCTTTGGGTTACCCCTCACGGTTTTAAAACGCGTCGATAGTGGGGAAGAGCCTAGGCCTTATAAGGTACCAAGGACTCTTCAAACCCACCGGTGTGGGATTCTTTGGCATTCCTACCGAAGAGGCGGGTTTAAGATGCGCGAGTTTCCCCGGCTCAAGGGAGTGAAAGGCCCATACCTAACAGCATGAAAATATTATTATCTTTAAAGTAATGGTATTACGTATATATATGAGTTACATGCATACAGTTCTAATATGCAATGTAAGACCTCTAAAATATAAGAAGATTGTAACCAAGTACTAAATCACTAGACTCACCTATAACAAATGATATTTTTCTCTCTGCTGCCAGGGTACTTGTCAAGTTTCTTATTTTTAGTCTATACATCTGGAAACCTTTTAATCTTTGTAACTATGGAGAGTGGGCATTTCTATGTACTTTAGATGAGTTACGTACTCACATTGTTACCTATAAGAAAAAATAGTGTATATTCATACAATAAACATTGGCTTAGAGATAAAATGAATTTAAAATAGTTCATTTTCTGTCTAATATAAAATAGTTCAATTTCTATGTACTAAATCAGTTTATTGGATGCTATATTTTATAAGGGTAGTATAACAAGCATTGAAAGTTTAGCAGTAAACTCTAACAAGTATATTAACAAAATTATGTAAAGACTGAAAATATCCCATACAGAAGCTCCCCAGCCCATAGATGGTTATTTTGTTTTTTGTGTGTATACTCAGTCAGTTTGTTATACAAAGTCAGTTTGTTATACAAAGGTTTCTGTGAAACGTTTTACTTAGTAATGCTTATGAGTTATGGCTGTAAATGATGTATTTCACACATTATCTCCTTGATCTTTATCAATAACATGATCTTTATCAATAACATGGCAAACGAAATCTTTGTTTGTTAGAATGGTTTCAGCTATAGTACCACAAACAGTTTAGCATACAGGTCATAAAATCATAAATTTTACCATCCATTACAATCCATTTCTCTGAAGAATCGTTGATTAATTTTTTTTTTCTGTTTCAAAGTTGTCCAGAAAGTCCTCTCAGGAAAACAGAGGAAGATGAAGTAGGCAGTCCCTACTCACAAGCATCTACGCCAAGTA